GTCTCTGTGTCAGCATGTCAGGCTGCTGCTGCTGCAGGCAGGAGGCCATGGACTGGGCTTGGTTTCTTGTGCCTGCAAGGCAGATCAGAGCTGGGAGAGCTGGAGAGGGACTGAAGCAGCAGTGGTCAGCGTGTCACACCTCGCAGGGACCCGGTGAGACCCTAGTGCAGGCAGGAGCCCTGGGCCACGGGGGTGGCAGCAGCTCCAGCCCCAGCTGCAGGCAGGGCAGCCAGGCAGCAGCAGCAGGATGTTGAGGTCCCCTGTGCCACGCTGCTGTCACACCTGCACCTGTCAGAGCTGCAAACAGGGCACTGGCACAGCCCATGTCCCAGACCCTGCCGTGGTGTGACCCATGCAGAGCATGTCCCCATACAGCAGTGTCTGCTCCCGAGCTCTCTGCCCCTGCTCCTTAGGCACCCAGGAGCTCCTCATGCAGGCAGAGATAAACACATCTCTGCTCCTCCCTCGCACTCCCTCTCTGTTACGTGGATGCTTTCTGCCATGAGCAATTCCTGCCCGGCTGCTTTCACTGCTCCCGAGAGCCACGCAGCGACATCAGCACGTTCATGTTCCCACTCTTACTTCTTGTGCCCAGAGACAGCAAGGAACTGCCAGGGCTGTAGCTCTCAGTGGGTGTCACACAGGTGACAGGAACCACCAGGGCTGCAGCTCTCGGTGGGTGTCACGCAGGTGACAGGAACCACCAGGGCTGTAGCTCTCAGTGTCACGCAGGTGACAGGAACCGCCAGGGCTGTAGCTCTCGGTGGGTGTCACGCAGGTGACAGGCAGCTCAGGGTGACCCCCAGCACCCCAGAGCCTCGGCACAACCCGCTCTGCAGCCAGCACAGGCAGCCCACCTGACACACCTGGGGCTGCCACCGCCTGCAGGGAACCTGACGTGGGCTCTCAGGGAGAAGGAGGGAAAGAAGGAGCTCCAGAGAAAGCAAAGGAACAAGCAGGCAGTGGGCTGGCTGCAGGAGGCACTGGCCCTTCTACAGACAGCTGTGAATGGTACTTGACATAAGGACTGAGGCACAACAGAACCAGCAGAAAACAGGGATCTGGTGTTGCCTGTGACTGTAGCTGCTTTGAGGGTTGTTTTTCAAATGCTGCAAGAAGGAATTAGTTATTGCATTTCTGTGCTTTACAGGACTTCTGGAAAAAAAACTATAGGAGAACTTAAATCTCAAAGTCACAGAAGAGTTACTGAAAATGCCTCTTAGTGCTCTAGGCAATCATCAGAAGAGAAAATGCACATCATAAGCACACTCAAACTCCTAATTAATGAATGCCAAAAGGAATTAGTTGGGTTTTTTTCATCTTTGAAATAAGTACAAGTGGAAAATAATATAAAGCTGCCCTCAAGTTCTGAAGCTGACTTAATTTGGATAGAGGTTCTACCATAGCTTTGGGGGGTTTGGCCAATACTGTCTGTAAAAGAAAATACATCTGATGATTTAGGAGCCTTATGCATAGACACCAGGCCCCATTTCCCAGCAGTGTGGGAGGAACGCTGTGATCACTGGCTGCTGAGCTTGGCAGTGTGACCCAGCTGCTGAGCAGGGCAGGGTGTGAGGTGTTCTGCATTCAGGCCCTGCCAGGGCTTGCTGGTCTGCTGTGGTGGGACTGGAAAAGAAAGATGTTCATGCCTGAGTGAGGGTGGCATGGCCACGGAAGTGACGTGGGACCAGCACTCCTCACCTGCCCCACGTAAGACCATGGGCAGGTCCTGCTTGCAGTTCAATTGACAGCAGAACTTCCCTCCAACATGCACGGGCAAAACCTATCCCGGCGCTGTGGATGGCACTGGCAATGTATGATAGGGCAAAATCAAACAAACCAACCCATCAAAACTAGTGCACAGGTACACCAGTGAATGCTCAGTGCTGTGATTAATGCAACCTAACCATCAGTTTTACTTTTCATAACAGAAGTTGCATTTCCTAACAGAAGTTACTTTTCCAGTTACTACATGCATTAAAAAAAGTGAAAGTACACAGGGTGTGACTTTTCAGGGGACTGGAACCCCATTCCTACCATCTTTCCTAAGAGTGGTGCTGCTCTGCACCTTGGAAGCTAGAAGAAGTACCTCGCCTGAAGAGTCTTCCAGGGTCCTTGAACACAGCCTAACTGGAGATACCACCAACTCCGAGTCTCCAGATGGTTCTGATCCTTTTGATAAAAGGTGAATCCAGTAAATTCATTGTACTGTACTGCTACATTTTGCTTTGCTTTCTGCAGCTCATGGCCAACACTTTATTTAAGAACTGGAAGGCATAGTGAGACTGTATATAGGCTAACAAGTCTTAAATAATACCAGAGTAATGGCTTGCTTTAAATTTCTTTAGATAGGAGGTAGGAGGGAGGCAGAACTGCTCTGGGACCTTAGACCACTGCTGCTACACCATCAGTTCAAGGGAGAGCACAGTGGGTTTCCCATGTAAACAACTTGCAAAGAGAAATTGCACTTCCATGTTATGATTATATACACACTTACTCCTGCAGATTGTGCAGTGCTGCCCCTACAGGCTCTTCAGAGCTTTAAGGTAAAAAGAAAAAGTCATTTTAAAGATTTTAAGCAAAGACACTAAAGCTAAGTAAGATTGCACTTCCTATTTCAAGACATAGTAGATTCTAATAAAGCAGTGGGGCCTCTTACTGATAAAAAATAATACTTATCTTGTTTTTAACTGAACAGACATGCATAGACACAGGGGTCTGCTCCCATCACCCTACCTGCTCACAGGCAGGTAGGTTCTCTCGTCCTTTCCCAGGGGAGCTGTTGGCAGAGCCAGCAGAGCTGGAGGAGCAGTTCACAACCCCCTGCTGGGCAAGAGGCTGTGGCCAGAGCCGGGTTCCTCACCAGCTCGAGGCTTCAGGGAGCACAGAGGCTCCCTATAGTCTGGGCTGTTGTCACTGTGCATCCCTGGGAGAGCTCCCCAGGGTCACTGCTAGACTGGGCTGAGCAGCTGTTCCCAAGCTCCAGGGAATGCTTTGGAAGGATGGAGGGATCTATGAAGAGGGGGCAGATGTTTTACAAAACACCAGAGGAGGGAGAAGCACAATAGGGTCTCAGTCTTCGTTGGGCCCCAAGCATTGCTGACACACAGAGGAGCTGTCAGGCCTCTTCTCTCCAGGAGCAGTGTTTGTATCTCCAGCTACTTGTACACTTGAGAGGGAGGCTGCTCCAGGGGAAGTCTGAGCCGGAGGGATTTGCGCTCTGCAGTCTATTCCCAACACTGCCACTGATTGCCCATGTGGCTTCAGACAAGTTACTTAAGTCCCTGCCTGCTTTTGTTTACAGGGCTGATAATTCCAGCCTGTCTCTGCTGAGCACTTCCAAGCTTACCTGCTGTGTTCCAAACACGTCAGGACACTTGGGAAGCTATCCTGTCAAAGTGAAGGTCAGCACAGCACACCCAGAGTTTACAAACCTGTGCAAAGCCATGGCATGCCCCGTGGTGTGTGCTCCTGGGCTCCCAGCTGCCCATTCCCTCTCGGGAAAGCGAACACAGTGCTGAACAAACAACTAGGAAACAAGTACATAATGCTTTCCAGCATGGAATGCCAGAAGTGATGAGAAGAGCAATGAAAAAGCAGAAGAGTGGGGCCAGCCCAGGCACCAGTGTCCTGCCTGCACTGCTCACAGCACGCACAGCCCTCCTCCCGTCCCAGGGTGGAGCAGGTGCCCAGGCCAGGCAGCTCTGGGGCACTGGCAGAGGCCAGCCAGGCTGAGAGGGGCGTGATAAACATCAAGGACATTTGCCAAGCAGCAGGAGGACAGCAAGTCAGTCTTTGCTGTCGACAGCCTCCCATTGCTGGCAGGGCTCCCCACCAGTGCAACCAGCAGCGATGGGTCTGGGGACACACCTCAGCAGGTACTTCTCACCATGAAGGGCAAAGCCACTTCTCTTTGCCCCTGTTGCTTTTACCCTCTCCCCTCTGCAGCCACTTTCACCCAACCAGCAGCTTACGTATCCTTCCTAATTTTGTTAATGAGGTTAGAACTCAGAGCTGCTCTTCAGAACCTTGCATGACTGAAGTACAAGTGTGGCTATGAAGGTGGGAAACACCAGCAGGCCAGAGGGGCTGGCAGGGGGGGCAGCCCTGCACCTGCTGCTCTGCAGTGCCCTGCAATGAAGCTGATGGCAGAGGATTAAGCAGCAGGGGCAGACACAGTACATGGAGGCTCACGTTAGCTCCTCGTGGCTTATAAAACAGGCTCCTCCAGAAGCACAAGGTCAGGTTTCTGTCCCAGTATTCCGAGTGCTGGCAGCACGGGGGTTGTGCATCTTGGGCATTTCATCCTTGGAGCTGAAACTTTTTGCACACATATTAGCACAGAAATAATCGTGTCCACTTTGGTTAGAACTGTCCTCAAGGAAGTGTCTCAGCATCAGTGAGCAGCCATGCACACAGGTTGTAACCTGCCTGATAGCATTAGCATCTTAGTGCTTAATTGTGTGCTAGCTTTAAGCTCAGTGAAAAATCACCCCCTCTCTTTCCACTTCTCACAATTGCAGCCTTGAAACTGTTCCAGGGTTTAAAAAAAGCTGTGGGTAATCTGCATTTGAATTTGCTGTGTGATGGCAATAAGGTACATCTATGAAACACAGTTATTTCTAGTAACTGCTTGCTGAAACTAGAATCCTTTGTTTTTTTAAAGACAAGAAAAATCCAACCCAGGACCACTTCAGCTAGTCTGGAACCAATCAGATCTAACTACAACAGCAGATCTAACTACAATTAAGCTTTACAATCCATTTTATCTAAGTGCTTGCATCAGGAAAAAAAACACCACAAAAGACAAGAAGAATCAATTCTTAATGTGGAAACAAAAATAAGCAAAGCTCAGCTCTGAATCCAGGGCTCCATAGAAGTACCTGGTGTAACGTTTGCGATGAGCACAAGAGTTCTGGTCGGTGACCAGTGCTCCCAGCTGGCAGGGGGAGCAGTGAGCTCTGGTGCCTCCCCTGACAGTTTGTTTGGTCTCTTTCCAGTACGCCACGACGGGCTGCTCCCTGACACTCCACCACACAGAAAAGCCAGAACACGAAGACATCTGCGAGTATCGTCCCTACTCCTGCCCGTGCCCCGGGGCCACCTGCAAGTGGCAGGGGTCCCTGGAAGCCGTGATGTCCCACCTCATGCACGCCCACAAGAGCATCACCACGCTCCAGGGAGAAGACATCGTTTTCCTGGCCACGGACATTAACCTCCCGGGGGCGGTTGACTGGGTGATGATGCAGTCGTGCTTTGGCCACCACTTCATGCTGGTGCTGGAGAAGCAAGAGAAGTACGAAGGCCACCAGCAGTTCTTTGCCATCGTGCTGCTCATCGGCACCCGCAAGCAGGCGGAGAACTTTACCTACAGACTGGAGCTGAACGGCAACCGGCGCCGGCTGACGTGGGAGGCCACGCCGCGCTCCATCCACGACGGGGTGTCGGCCACCACCCGCCATCGCGCACCTCTTCGCCGACAACGGCAACCTGGGCATCAACGTCACCATCTCCCCCTGCTGCCCCTGACCCCGGCCCACCTCGCCCCCTCCCTCTGTGCCGGTTTTGTCAGCGGCGCTCAGCGAAGTCCCCCCTGTGCTGAGGTTCCTGACTCGCCAACGTCCTGAACTTTGGAGAGGAGAGGAACAAGAGTGTCCTGTAAGTGGTATGAGTGGGAAAAGGTGTTTTTTTTTAATTCTTGGGTGCCTTAGGAACATTCCCCACACGCAGTCACCTTTTTTTGTTTTTAATTTAATTGTATTTTATTTAAAGAGTGCTTCCATTAGACATGTGTCTTAAGAGACTTGAAGAACTGCATTCCTGTTCGGAGCGTGCCTAAAAGCCCAGTCAGCAGAAAACTGGCTCTCTCACTGCTGCACTGTAACAACGATTCTAGCAGGTGGGAAGGAAATCCAAGCAGCCTCTCACAAGAGAAGTTCTGGCTCAAAGGGGAACAATAGGTACTTCAGGTTGCTACTCTGTTTCCTGCTACCTTATTGAAAAGGGATGGGCACTGGATCATGTGCTGTGTTTTTAAAAGCAGAAAGGGGGGAGGGGCTGGGGTACAGCCTGGCAGGGTTCACAGTGTGGGAATTGCCACCTCCTGTCCCTTCTGAGGGGATCAGTGAGCCCAGCTCCCAGCACAGCCGGTACTGGTGGAGGCAGGAGGCACATCCAATGTATCTCAGACAGCTAGAGCCAATAATAAATATATTCGAGCTGTCCACATGCAGCTTCCCTCAGAGACCTACTTGACTATTGATTATTGTAAAAGACTAATAATATAGCAAGAGCTTTACGGCCAGTGTCATGACATTGCTATTTAAGTTTTGTTGCCATATTTACTTTTATTTTGTAATAAATACTTTGCAAAAACTACCCTCTATAGCATGCTGTGCTAACATACCTGTGCAAGGCAGTAGCTGTTGCTCCCCAGTTACCTGGTGTGCTCTGCCCTGCTGGATCTGCTGGGTTTCCCCAGGTGAGCCCATCTCGTGGGCAGCAGGACACTGCAGAGCCTGAGGGGTTGCTCATCCCCCCACCCCTGATGGAGAGGGATGAGAACTGGGTGGGAATTTGAGTCCAAGAGGAAGCAGTGACAGCCTGACTCCTGCAAACTGAGATCAGGGTCTGTCATGGAAGCTGAACGTGCCTGCAGCTCCCCCTCTCCCACCAGGAGCCTCCCTGTGGATCCCTCAGGAAAAGCACTAGCTCCTCAGGTGGATCTGCTCAGAATGAAGATGTTTGCCACTTGGAACAGCAACAAGTCACAAGGTGACACAGTCCACTGAGTTATTCAGTGGTAGGAAGCTCATGATAGTGGAAAACTCCATGTAAGGTGACAGTGGTGTGAACAAATATAAGACACGGGGAGGAAAAGCAGACCTAAGAGCTTCCCTGCAGGGGATACAGCCCTGAGCCCCACACAAAGATCCACCAGTGCCTGGTGGCAATTCCCAGAAAAGCACACAGGAGAATTACAAGGCCCACAACAGCAAAGGGAAGCTTGTTCTGGCCTTTAGAATTTGGAAGTGATCACAGAAAAAAACTCCCAAGGAATTACTCTAATGTTTTCATATCCAGTTCCTACCAAGATCCTGCATTTGAGCTCATCCCTGCTGTGCTGGGAGCATCCCAGCAGCATCAGCCAAGTCAACTAATTTGCTCCTGCTCAAACAGGATCAAAGTCAAGCTCTGGCTTTAACACCTGTGCTTTCAGCAGAACTTGTTAAGCAAGAACTCCTGAGGATTTTATTCATTTTCCCTTATTCCAGCAACATTTATAGGGCAAAATTATTTTTCTTACTGACAGTTGGGACAAGAGAGCCTTTTTTTGTGTAAAGCATGTCTTTGATTATAGTAGGATTAATGAAATTAATCAATCAATCATGTTGCCTATGACCCACATTAGGCAAGTAAACACACACTATTTCATGAGACCTTTCCACAACATTCAGTTCTGAAGGAACAGTAAACTTTTGTTACATCTCACAGCAAAAACCCTACACATGGTATCTTTTCTGACTGAAATAGAATTCAGGATGAAGAATACCTCAGCTGGAATTGCCAAAAAGCAACGTGTTTCCTCTTCAGGCCAGCAAATGAACAGGTGATGCTCTTTCCAGCACTTGATCAGAATGTTTCAGGTTTTCCTCCCAGTGCAGCTGGTACAACATCCTGAGGGTGATGTCCAAGAATAGAGGCAGAAGGGGCTTCCAGGACACTAGCACGTTGCCAAGGGAAGTGGCAGCACAGCAGAGAGAGGGGTAAAAGCCCCTCAAAATACTCAGAAAAAGTTTCAGCAGCCCCTCCCAGCACTGCCCCAGCACTGCTTGGCAGCAGGACCTGCAGACAACGGTCCGAGCCATTTTGTTAACAATTCTCCCTACAAACAGTTTTCACTTCAAACACCCGGAAAGATACAAAAACCCCCAGGGACTGGTGAATTTTTAGCAGCAGCACAGCACAGGGGAGCTGGTGCTGGCTGTGAGCACTCACCTCCCCTGCTCTGGCACTGCTGGGACCTGCCCCGACCCACCAAGAACAATCCCCTGGGACTTGCCCCGACCCACCAGGAACAATCCCCTGGGACCTGCCCCGACCCACCGGGAACAATCCCCCGGGACCTGCCCCAACCCACCAGGAACAATCCCCTGGGACCTGCCCCAACCCACCAGGAACAATCCCCCGGGACCCCAGAGCAGCAGGAGCACCAGCCCAGCTGCACATCCCAGGGCTGCACCTCAACATACTCTTCCCACTTTTAAGAATTACTAAGACAGATTTATTTTAGAATCATAGAATTGTTTTGTCTGGAACAGGCCCTAGAGGTCCTCGAGCCAAACCATTTTCTTGCAGGACTTGTGTGCAGGTAAGACAACTACAAATTCTCACACAAAGCCCAGACAACGTAGCTCATACACCTTGTCCTAAGGGGAGCCCAAAGCCTGTGCTGGCTTGCAGACCAGGTACCTGCAAAGAATTGCTCACCTTCATTCTCCAAGCTGCGAGTGCAGATTCCTTAAGTGATTCAACAGCACCCGGTGCTACAGGAGGCATCAGCAACAGATGGATTGTCACAAAAGCATGACACAACACCAAGCAACCTGCATAGGCAGGTGTTCCAGGTGTGGTTGGGAGCTCCTGTCCCGACAGGTGAGTCACACCAGGGTTTGTCACCAGGGTTTGTCACCAGGGCTTCCCCTCAAGCCGGTGCCGGTG